TTAAATTTTTTAGAAAACTTTTCAGTGTGTTTATTTTTTTTACATTCATAATAAAATCAAAGAAAATCTAACAACACATCTGAACCTATAAAATTGAAAGAAAAGAGTTTAATCATAAAACTATTAATAATTGTTTTCTTTTTAAAATATATTTAGTACTAAATTATTTAAATAGAACATGAATATTTCTTGGCATGATTAGAAGTCTTTTCATCGTGTAACTTGAATCTTTAAACAGAAATGTTTAACATTCCTTCTGAATATAAATCAATGAGTATATAGAACGCATTGTGAACGTATTGTGAACGCAGCCAGCGCAGTGAGAACGCCGTGAACATGAGGTGACAACTCCTAACGCGCCGTGAAAACTCCGCGGAAGCGCAGTCAATCGCCGAGAGATCTCCGTGGGAACGCCATGAGATCGCCATAGAATCGCATCCGTCGCCGTAGGGACGCCGTGATATCTTCATATTGTGAAAATTTTTACAGAAATTTGTGCAATTTTCCTGCGATTCCACGGCGATTTTAAAAATTTAACAACGCCGTAATGACTCCGTGTGAGAGCAGCTTGGTGTGACAGGGCCTTAGTGAAAAACGCATATTCAAACTTAACCATATTATACATGTGTATATATATATCAAAATAATAATTAAAACTAGAGCAAAGCTCGTTGCAAAGCAACAAGAAGGTCTTCCATCCTGTTTCACCGGAAGTAGCTTTCATTTTTAACAAAAATGAGAAATAACGCCAAAATTGCTTTGAATCCTCTAAAACTATAATAATCAATGCAAAAATAAGCCATTTTTGCTCCATCCGGTTTTACCGGAAGTGACGACGACGGACGGAAAATTAATTATTACGCTCCCGGAGACATATGTAATTCAAAAACTTGTGAAGAACGGTAAAAATACGCGTTTTCCGACTACTTCCGGTTTGGCCGGAAGTGACGACGCCGGACGTATTTTGACGACACCAATAGATTTAACTTCACATTTTGAACAACTTTGCTTCTTTGACCTATTACAAATTCTCAATACTTTTTCAGATATAAAGAAAACAATTTCGGCCCCTCTAGGCTCTTTATTTTAGGGGCCAGCCCTTTTTTCGACATATCATTTGAAAGATCGTGAAATTTTACACTTCTTTTGTTCTATATATTTTAACAAAATATTTCCAGGTAAAAAGATATTTTAGAAAAGTTGTTAAAAATCGTGAAATTCGCGATAGGCCTATTTTCGGGTCATAGCGAGCGCCGACGTGCGGCACTTCCGATAAAAATGAAATGCCTTATACATATCTATAGACTTTGGTCTATCATGCCTGAAAGTTTCATGCTTCTATCTTGAGCCATTATTGAGAAAACTGCCGGTCAAAATAACCCTCTAAAACTCACTAAATCGCAGAAAACTCCGAACAGGAAGTGACGTCATCAAATTAAAAAAAAACGCCTTAAGTTCATATAATTTGTCATCAATGCTGAAAGTTTCATGAAAATCCATCGACGCATTTACGAGAAATCGCCTGCACAAAATCGGTAAGAATAATAATAAGACTAGATATGAAACTCGTTGCGAGCAACGAGAGGTCTTCCGTCCGATTCTGACATAAAAAACAAAAAATCTAGCAGAAAAAGCGATTAAAAAAAGTCAGACATTCGGGGGAGCGAACCCGGATCGCCCGCGTGAAAATCCAACGCGCTAACCATTCGGCCATTGAAAACACCGCTTCAAATTTTCAAATGCGAATATCTCGAGATTGCCTTTCTCGATTCTAAAAAAAATTACGTATTATGCATTTGCAAATGAGTCTCTATTTAGAATAAAAACAACAAAGAAAAATATTGAAAAACAAAAAAATTGAAAAATTGCATTTTTTAAATATGCTTCCGGCAGAAACCGGAAGTGCTGACGACTCACGAAAAGGCGATTCTGCAAACCACAAAGTCATGATCTATCATCTCCAGTAAGTCTCCAGTTTATATCCTCAACCATTTTCGATAAAAGTGCGCGACAAAATCGCATTTTAAAATCAGGAAATTGTCCATAACTTGGCACCAGAAGCGAATTCCAAATTTTTCTTCGGATGTAACAACTTCATATAATGACACATATTTTGTGAAAGTTTCATGAAAAACCGCTGAATAGTTTTCGAGAAATCGCCTGCACAAAATTTTGTCAAAAAAAAGAATATTAATAAGAATAATAATAATAAGAAACAATAGAATCACTATAAGGTCTTCCGGGAAGACGAAAGACCTTAATAATAAGAAACAGTAGAATCACTATAAGGTCTTCCGTGAAGACGGAAGACCTTAATTACAAATTGTCGCATAGGTTCACGTCAGAAAATGGCTGACGCAAAATAATTCCTGAATTTTCCTCTTTAACTCGAGCAATCCTGCATTGGAGAGAGCTGATGTTTGTTATGAGATGATAAACCATGTGTAAACTTTCTTAGTTCAGCGGAATCATGGACATTTTCGGCGTTATGAATGTTTTGTTTACTGTAGCGGTGAGGGCATCGCGCAGCTATTGGAGCGGATCTAAGGATTTATGAATGAATAAAAAAGATGGAAATAAAGTTTGATTTCTTCTGTATTATTTAATGACATTATTCATTTGCATGTAATAGATATATACAAGAAAACGCGAAATGCTAATAAATGCAGCTGAAAATCTTTATTTTCTCAAGATAAAAAAAAATGAAATTAAATAATTGTAAATTCTACATACAAAACATAGGAAGAATGAATGATGGCAAGTTATCAGATGACATCAGGGGAACTGATTTTTATGAATGAAACTTTTAAAACGTTAATTGTACGTTGTAGATGTTACATCTGCGAAGTCTACCTGTCTGCGCGCTTCCGGGAGTGGGGGGGGGGTTCTTGAATATAGACTTGTAAATAACCATTATTTTGTAAAAAGAATTAAGCCTTATCATTTTCTTTACTTTAAGAAGAGTGTCTTGTTATGTAAATGTCAAGGTCAGTTTATGTAGAATGTAATAATTAAAGCCGAATTGGCATTCATTTCAATATGTGAGAAAGGTTGGAGATAGGTCTTTTACAGTTCACAAAAAAGAAATGGGGGGGGATAAGATGAACACATATAAATATATTCAATATACACACTTTATTTACTAAAATCTCGTCTCAATTGAACCAGGGAAGTTTTTCTACAGGTCCTTTCGCCATCGCGTCAAAGACTTTACCTGCACACTTGTGTATTACACAATGTGTTTTCTCCTCGTGAAGTCTATTTATGAGAAAATGAAATGAATATTTTTTAGTGTTTAAGGAAACGTTGAACCTACGTTTGCGAAAGTTCTCAGATATTCAAAGATATTTAATTCCTTCTTAATCAATTCAAGAAACTGTTTATACGTAAAATCATCAAAAAGGGGCTTTAACTTTCACTATGAATATCACAGAAAAAAGAAGAAAGAAAGACAAAGAAATGTTCAAAATCGAGTTTTAATTCCCTTTTCTGTGACGACCGGAAGTATTGACGACGGAAAAAATGTTAATGGACAAATCTTCAGGTCATGATCTATGATATCTGACACAGTTAACTTTCATATCTTAAGCTGTTCTGGAGAAAAGGACCGGACAAAGGTCATTTCCAAAATTTGGTCAATACGAAAATAGTAAGAATACTAGATGTGAAACTCGTTGCGAGCAACGAGAGGTCTTCCGTCCGATTCCGGAAAGAAAACGTTAAATCGATCTGAAAAAGTAAACAAAAATTGCACGTAAAAGGGGATTGAGTTGCCAACATGAAAATCCAGCAAAGAAATCCAACGCGCTAAATATTACGCTTTTCGGACCTGTGCTCTAAATTTTCTTGTATATACCTCGGTATAACAGTGCTTTTGTCTTAGAATTATGAAAGGCGAGTCACTATTCATAATTTCGCGCCAAACGCCACGAATTAATCTTAGCGCCTTTTCTTTGGAATGTTCTATCTTATAGGTGTGATAGCTTCAATGAAATAAAGAAATGTTCTTATAGCCTTAAATTCGAGGATAAGAAAGTATATTTAACACATTTAATTTTACAAATTCCATATCGTATGTAAGCAAGTACGACTAAAGCAGTGATACGGCTACGGATTTTTACCTTTTTTAATTTCCTGTTTATCCCCAAAGTGAACTCTCCCGATTAGTTAAATTTCCATGAAAAGGTTATACTGTTTCGCCAAAAAACATGGCTCGCCTTTCGACAGTCAGGGAATTGGATACCATTTGTGCTCAATAACTTGAATCAGACACTGCTTGAAAAAACACCTTTACAAAACTTTACTTGCAAAGTAAATTTCATTAAAGGTGCTCCAAAAAGCAAGGTCATCTTTGTATTAACTTTACAAAAAGTAAAGGTGAAAAGGTAACCTTTACTTACAGGAAAATATAATTAAATATAACCTTTCACCTTTAATGCCATATTAAAGTTCATTAAATATACATATTTTATAAAAGTCTTATTTAAATGCTGACTATTGTTTAATACACTTATACTTTGGATTTTCACAGTTAGTTTAAAGAATCTAATCTAGTCAGTACCCAGAATTTTAAGACAAATGTCAAAGATATTTTTTTTTTATTATCTTGTATCCATTTCCAGTTGAAATTAGTATTAGAAATGGTCATCTACAGAATCAAACACTTGATTCATCATTATTTGACAGACTACACCTCAAATAATACAACAACTATGCTGTAAGCCAGGTTAGCTTAGTTGGAGCAGCTGGCGTTTATTTTGATACATATCTAACATACATTACATTGAATGTGAAACAATAGAGCACTGGAATGCATTTGTAAAATATTTTACCTGTAATAAATTATACCCCTATCACAAACATTAAAAACCGCCCAGGCAAAAACCATAGATGGTTAACTATGGAAAACCTGTGTCCGTCGCTATGTAAATAATGTCTCAAGGGAGAATGCCGGACGTGCATTCAATGCAATAGTTAAAAATGCACGAACACCCCATAATATTTGCATGTATGAAAAAATCCAAATTAAAATACCGGGTACATTTCAACAGTTTTGTTATTTCCATTACCGGTATATTTATACAAATATGATATATATATTATATATAAAGCAAAAATAAATGTGTGTGTATTGAAGAGCACTGGCTTAGAATGATTTGAACACCTTACTGAATACTCATTTCTCATTGGCCTTCCTTTGGCCACGCCCACATATACAACCAAAACCATTAATATACGTTCCTCTCATACAATGTGTTCCCATTCTACTACATAACACGGGAAAAAAATATTATCTGCACCAGGATTGCCTACAACTCTCTGGATTGGATAGCATAGATTTTTCATATGTACATTGATATTAATGATATATTAATTAATAATATAACAATGGGAAAAATTGGCATATTGATAATTTTCATTTTCCAAACAAAAATGATCTAAAATATTCTGTATTTTGCCTTCTCATCATATGATGAGTCAGATATACAGCACAAACAATATCCAGTTATAACCTTGAATATAAACATTATATTGAGCTATCTTTGACTTTTGTTTTCCTTTACACATTCAGATACATGTAAGACAAAATAAAAAAAATACAGATGATAAGTATAAATTTCACATTTCTGCTTATGAAATGGAGGTCCCATTTCACTTTAAAATATAATACCGTTACAATATTATTTATTCTTTATGGTGCATGTACAAATATGAAATAAACTTTGCAGTTTAAATTGAATTAAAAATGTGAAAAAATTACATAAAAGGCTATTTAATTTGCGCTTACATACAGGCTAATAACATCTTCAACTTGTAATGCAAAATGATGCATTTTACATATTCAAAAACACAAAAAATTGTGAAAAATCTATTAGAATATATGTGAGGATGCAGTTTGCAAAATGCATGAGATCATGTATGAATCCAGCTTCACCGGCCAGTGAGCCTGTCTGTGCTTGACTTAGTTTAGATTATGTTTTTATGTCTGTGGTATATGTTAATGTGTTTGCATATGTGTCCAGCTTCACACATTTTCATGTATGTGCTCGACTTCACACGCCTTGGAAAATATGTAATAGGTTGTGGCAGATGCATGTGTATTTGTGTATGTGTCCAGCTTCACACATTTTCATGTATGTGCTCGACTTCACACACCTTGGAAAATATGTAATAGGTTATGGTAGATGCATGTTTGCATGTATCAAGATATACGCATTTTCATGTGTGTGCTCGATTTACATGTCATCAATGTAAAATATGTAAACATGGTGGTGTAAAACATTTACAAGTGTATGATGCACACAGAGAAAAAAAAGTTCTGTGTGTTTGTTCTGCAAGAGTGATCGTATAAATAAACTACAATTATGTCCTGTTGAGAAATTGACAATCATAATAAGTAACATTCATTTTACATAACTGTACTGAAAATTACACATCCAGTTTAAATTACTGTACTGAAAGTTAAATTTGTGCAAAAACTCTCTGGCTGAATACTATTCAAAATCATGAATGCTTGCATGTTCATCTATAAATCTCCAAGATATTTCCTAGTTAGTTTGTAGCGCTGCACCGAGCGGTCTTACAACACATTTCATAATGTCAGTTTGCATGAATAAATTAATTTATCCTTGTTCCTCATATCTTGAAAATAGATGCCGAAATTCTAGTCTACAGTTTACTTACACAGCACATCATAAATAGAAACATTCAGGAAAAATAATTCACAAAAAATAAATTCAAGTAAAACAATCACATGTACATATAAATCCAAGATACATTATTTAATAGTCCAAGTAAGTGAGTAACTTTATCTATCTCTAACAGTTCTATCTACTAAGTCTTCTATATTTCCATCTTCCTATCTTATTCTAAAATTCTGTCGCACTATATATATACTCAAGATCCCTTCCTGATGATCAGGAGCACATTACAAGATCCTTAAGATCAGGAGTCAATACAAAGGTCATTACGATCAGCAGGGGGGTTAGATAAGAGGGGGCGATTAGTATACAGACAAGATTTATAGCATAAGTGTAGATGATAATGTGTGAACAATTAAGTAATGAAGAGTGATTTACAGATAAGATATTTTAAATCGTTACAAGTTTACATATTCTTGATCATATCATTGTTAAGTATATATTCTTGATCATGACATCTGTATTGGATTCCCCTCTCTGACATCTTTTCTTGTTCACCAATTAGTTCAACAGTCATCTAGGTACTCAGGTGTTGTACAAGTCCTAATAATAATCATTTTCAAAATTATAAAGAAAAACAATACAATTTTTAAAGAGGTTTTCATTACCTCTATTGAAATTAAAGCACAAGCTTTTGAAGACCTACTTAAGTAACTTAAAACATGTATAACTAAACATAATGGAAATTTAGACATTGCGACTCAATGTCAAACATATGATAGTGATACATCTGTAATATCCATGAAACTTACTGAGATACTTAAAATGTTTGTGGCATGCTTTCACTAAGCTATGCAATATATAAACATTTCTTGATTACATGTTGAAGTCCAAGACTTAAAAAAATAAGTTTGTTTCCTGTAACATTCCAAAAACATCAAGGGTCGGTAGGTCGGATTTTTTTTTTTTTTTTTGGCTTATGAATGGTGAAACATCCCCAGACTGAAAATACCAGGTGTTATATTTACAGTGGACACCCAACATGGCATCCAAAATGGCTGCCTAGCGGCAGAAAACAATTTTCAGAAAGTTTTAGGGGGAAACTGTTGTTACAATAATGATTACTCTTTATATTTAAGGTAAATGTAAACTAGGTTGACATATTTTATGTCTCAAATTAAACTATAAGCTATTGTTTTAATTTAATAAATGGAATCAGCTGATTGATCAAACAAAGTTTTGATATTTGTCAGGGAGAAAAATCCACCCAGGGATAATTTGAATGGGTCGGTGGGGTTACAGGAAACAAACATAATTTTTTTTAGGCCCAATCCTCACCTGACTTGCACATTCATATGGATTGGTTCTATGCTGATAATCCCTTTCAACAATCTTCATCACAACATCTGAAAGTCACCCTTCTTCAAAATCAAATCTGCCGCTCACCTCAAATGTATATAGACTCCCTGTACAAATGCATGGAAAATAAAATTTTGAATAAAAAATGAATTATCTCTTCACCATACCCGGCCTCTTTAAAATATGTGAGAAAATAATTTAAATACTTTTCTTTAGATAAAATCATGAAGTGAGTATCCAGCAATGGTGAAAAAAAAAACTCTAGAATTTTACATTTATATTGAATGAAAAATGCATTGTTCCCTCTACTTAAAAAAACTCAAAAGACAATACCTAAAATGGAAATAAGGTACAACTGTGACTGGTGTCTCAGGCACACCCAATAAACACAAGACCTTTCCATCCTTAGCAGCATGCATTAGCTCTACTTTCCTTTTTTCTACAAAAAAATATACAATGAATTTTTTTTTAAAATGAGAGCGAACAGTGTTACATGTACTTGGGGTAACAGAGGAAGGGATTAATTATATTTCTGCCAGTGTTGGGACGGATAAATTTCCATTATAAAATGAAACGAATTATTCGCGACAAATAAGACACATGTATTACCTTGCAGTCACCGTCGCACATAATGTATACATACAACTGACAACATCCCAAATCCCTTTCTTTGTTGTTTACTTGGCGGAATTTTCTTTGCCTTCTAGACTGGTTCCCTGTTCTGGTTCCCATACATTGCCGTGAATAAGTCCTACGTTTATTGGTTTTGTTTACAAGCTTCAATATCTATAAAATCTCCCGCACATTTACAGTCTGTATTGTAAACTACTAAAACATACTTTACACACAATTTTCAGCTCAGTATTATGTTATCCTCTTCATTCAAATAATATGTAAACTCTTCTCGAATGTAAAACGAACGATCTACTCTGATAAGTAACCCAAATATGGCGCTGTGTATTCGGTTGAATAGCCAATCATTTCAAATCAAGTGGAGCGGGTCTGCATCGCTATTTTGACGAAGTTTGCAACCTGTGGTAATTTTTTGAAACCTCATCTAGATTTAAGGAGATTCTTGTCTTGACAACTGCTCGAACTCCCGGATTGGCATGCACTGCAGGTTTGTTTACGATTTCCAACCGTTTTCACTTTCAGCATAGATCAGTACATTGTGCATAAATGTAGTGAAACAAAACTTCGCTGTATATGTTATTTACTGCCAGAATGTTAGATTAGTATTTTGATAATTTGGGGATTAAATGTTTATGGGTTTCAGTTTATTCTGTAAAGGTGTATGTCTCTGGAATATTAAACAAGACAAAGAAAATCAATTCTGGAGTGGGACTAAAATGAGTAGTTAAAACCGAGCCGGGTCGGGAATTTGAAACTGAAACCGGGTTTTTGCTAATTACTGAGAATATACACAATCAGTTGTCATAAAACTTAGTTACAGATGTTGAGAGTTTCAACTCCGAAATTGACAAATAAGTTTATTTTATTTATAACATTTTGTATTTTAATTGTGTCAATTTTGTTAAAATACAGGTTGAGTGAAATCAGTATGCAGATTGTTGAAGGGAAAACATCGATCAAGACGGGGCGAGGAAGATGACAAAACATGATTGAGGATCCCAAAGTTCTTTGGTACAAGCACATTTTTAAAAAATCAAATAATAAGTATCGTGAAATGTTACTTGAACAAACATTTACATTATTTAGTGCTTGACTTGCTCGGGAGTCATTATTGTCAAATGTATTGTATAAAATGTTCAATTTCTTTTGTATAGGCTCAAGCTACTCAGCCTACCATGAGAAAATTAAAAGATCTGCCATGAAGAAGAGGCGGGTTCTCAAGTTTCATATTATAGATGGCAAGTATTGTTTAGATTTAATTTTAAAGTATTTTTGATAAAGAAAGGGTGTTTGGCAGTTCATAGCTATTAACTGTGATTGCATTGTGTATGAATTTTCAAAATCAATTCATTCTTTGGTGACCGTGTGCTTCAAATTCACAATTTTTAATAAAAATATTGACTATATATTTGTCCAGGTCATGGTGTATAAAATGTTAATCACTGTATGAATTCTATTTCAGCATGATTGTCATCTTCAATTTGAGGGACTCTCACCTAAAGTCCTTTTTACTGTTCCATATCAGGAAAAAGTTCATGAGCAGAAACACACTATTTTGGAAAAAGGTACATATATCCTAAACCATAACTTGAGTATGATTCTGTACACATGTACAGCTAAGCTAAATATGTAGCACTATTTTGTTCTTTTTGTAAACTGACTACTGAGTAGTCAGGAAAGCCTATCATTTCTTTATGAATCAGGGATTTATTCTTTGATTGTGATAAGTACCCTTAAAAGGTACATAATTCTCTAATTGTAATTTTAGGGATTAGACTTTTTGTGATAAGGGATACATGACCTAACCCATTGATTCTTCATATAATATGTCAATAATAAGAGGTCCACTCATCTTATTAAATTAATACAATTTTTATTTTTAAGGTTAAAGGTCATGTATGAACTTTTTATTTATTAATTAGGTTGTGCATTGTTTTTAGTTTTATTAATCATGGTATTGTGAATTCTGATAACAGATGCCTTTGAAAATATTCATACTTATGCATAGCACTGAATATATACTTATAGATATTTTTTTTCTTTTAGGAAAAGCATTAGAAGAATGCCTGCATGGGAAGAAAAGTTTTGGACTCTGAAAAGGGAGATGTGACAAATACATTTTGACAGTTATTGATTTCCACTGAAACCAATATCCACAAGAAAGAGGAACATAGTAGTTTTATGTTGATTCACAACTTTAAATTCAAGAATGTACAGTTGGTTTTATTATAAAACATGTCACGTACGAAAAACATTTTCGTGAAATGTACTCTGTCTTCGATACTTATTTATGTGTATGTGATTTGCAGGATAGGATGTGGGCAACATATACTGTCAAGAATCTTGATGTTTTTGATCTTATGTCTGTAAAAAAAATAGTAATAAACAAAGTTAAAGTCAACTTTTTGTTACTTTGTATATATTAATTATGATGTCCAGACTTCCGCAGTATCGACTTGGAAGAAAAATCTTATATATAAATTGCATAAGGCTTTATTCACTAGAATGGAAAACAGGAATTATTAACTTTTGTGGTAATTAAAGATGGTATTTAATTAAATTCAATATCTGTAATTATCAGATTTTATATATCCTAAATATGGTGTTTAATGGTTGTAAATATTAACTTTACTTTTTTGTAAAGTCAAGACAATGTGGGACATTACATCATATTTAAGTGCATGTAAAGTTAATGTAAAGGTTACCTTTTCCAACTTTGACTTTTTTTAGAAAAGCCAATTAAAGGCATTGTAAATAATAAATTTACATTATCTTTACTTGTTTTGTAAAGCCGAATTTTCATGCAGTGAGATCTTCGAGACAATAATTTTAATACAAACCCCATTAAACGATCTTTTAAAAAAAATAGTTATCTTATTTTGTCTTTTCTATTAGTTTAATATGACACAAGTTTTATACTTACTGTATTCATTGATATTCTTTCTTGAAAAACTATTACTTATAAATATGATTTAAGATCTGTTTTTCCGTGTTGCAAATCAGAAGATACATGTATTAGGTATCGTATTTCATTTGCACATTTAGTCTTTTCTTTTTCTACTTTGAGAACCAGCCAAATCAATTATAGAAGACGTTTAAGAAGAACTTAGTTTGACACAGAATTGCAACGTAAATACGACGTGACAATCCAAGTATTCCTTTACATTTCATTTATCCTTATGTTACCTTCGTTCAAGCAAACGCTCGGCTGACTCCGTAAACCCCTATTGCCAAATGTCGGAGTTGACAGAGACAACCGCCATATTGGACCCGCTTCAGATTTTTAAATGCTAATATTTGGAGTTTGGATTTATCAATTTACAAACAAATCATATAGCAAGCATTATCAGAAGGGTAACTGTTAGCATTCCAAAAATAAATGAAAAATATTGGAAAACAAAAAAGTTCGAAAAATACGGTTTTTTAAATTTGCATCTCGTAACGACCGGAAGTATTGACGACACACAAAAAGGTGATTCTGCAAACCAGAAAGTCACGAGCTATTGTCTCCAATAAGTCTCCAGTTCATATCTTTAGCCATTTTCGATAAAAGTGCGCGACAAAAACACATTTTAAAATCAGAAAATTGTCCATAACTTGGCACCGGAAGCGAATTTTCCAAAACAAATTATAGACTGCACAACTTCATATAATAACGCATTTTTTGTGAAAGTTTCGTTGAAAACCGCTGAATAGTTTTCGAGAAATCGCGTGCACAAAATTTTGTCAAAAAAAGAATAATAATAATAATAATAATAATAACTAGATGAGATCTCGTTGCGAGCAACGAGTAGGTCTTCCGTTGAATTACTCGATAAGATGAGATGTGATTTTGACTGAGATATATGTTTAAAGAGAATGCCATTAAGAAATCCTTCATTAAATTTAAACTTTCTGATTTTCATCATGTTATTCTGAACATCTTTTGTCCAATATTGCTTATAAAAATGCTCCCTTTTTAGAAACATAAAGCATAGCAAATATAGCATTTTAGTCCCTTGCAACCCTTATTACGTAAAACATGACCAAAATTTTATAATATATTGTTGCAAATCATTAAGATGAATACTTTTGCTTCATTAATGTATAGTAAGATATAGATCATTAGAAAGTTATAGATAAAAGACTTTTGGCCCCTCTGAGCCCCTTATTTTAGGGGTCAGCCCCATTTTCTTGATATCAAATGAAAGGTCTCCTGATTTTGAAGATTTTTCGTTCAACACTTATTCAGAGATTTCTATTTGTTGTGGAGATATGCTAAATCAAAATATTTAGGGGCTACTCCTACAAGTCCTTAACGGGGCCGTTTTACAAAAATTTGAAGTTTGCATGTTGTCTAGATCATCATTCTGACCATATTTTGTTCAATATTGCTTATTAAAATATTCCCCCTTTTTGAGATATAGAGCGTCAAAAATTCGACACTCTGGCCCCTTTTGACCCCTAATTACGTAACATATGATCAAAATCTTATCATATATTGTTGCAAATTTTTAAGATGACTACTTTTGCTTCAGTAATGTACAACAAAATATTGATCATTAGAAAGTTATAGATAAAAGACCTTTTGCCCCTCTCAGCCCCTAATTTGAGGGGTCAGCCCCATTTTCTTGATATCAAATGAAAGGTCTCGTGATTTTGAAGATTTTTTGTTCAGCACTTATTCAGAGATTTCTATTTGTTATGGAGATATGCTAAATCGAAATATTTAGGGGCCACTTCTACAAGTCCTTAACGGGGCCGTTTTACAAAAATTTGAAGTTTGCATATTGTTTAGATCATCATTCTGATCATCTTTTGTTCAATATTGCTTATTAAAATATTCCCCCTTTTTGAGATTTAAAACGTCAAAGATTTGACATTCTGGCCCCTTTTAACCCCTAATTACGTAACATATGATCAAAATCTTATCATATATTGTTGCCAATTGTTAAGATGAATACTTTTGCTTCAGTAATGTATATCAAAATATTGATCATAAGAGAGTTATAGATAAAAGACTTTTGTCCCCTCTGAGCCCCTAATTTGAGGGGTCAGCCCCTTTTTCTTGATATCAAATGAAAGGTCTTGTGAT